AGTTATTCATGCATCATTTGAAGTAGTTTTATACATGTGAATAATTTTCATTTCCTCATTATGTATTTTATTATGCCATTCTTATGGGCATGTATAAATATCTTCCATTATTATCACAATTATTATTGAACCTTGCTGTTCAAGGTTACAGAGTAATCCTGACATTGGTTTAAATGTTTATTTTCAACAATATTTTAACTTAGAAACTCTGTTACAGTCTGAACAGAAGTGGAAACAACTTGCTGAGCTGGCCATTAGTAAGTGTCAGTTTGGCCTCGCCCAGGAGTGCTTACACCACGCCCAGGATTATGGGGGTCTGCTGCTCTTGGCCACTGCCTCTGGAAATGCTAGTATGGTGAACAAGCTAGCAGAGGGCGCAGAGAGAGATGGCAAAAATAACGTGGCATTCATGAGCTACTTTTTACAGGGCAAGATGACTCCAAGGACTAAAAGATGCTGATGAGTAATTAAAAGCAGTTATTTCTGCATCAACTGTGAGGGTGGTTTTTGAGAGGAATGTGGTGCACAAATTCTGGAGAACTGATGAATGGCTCGCTGTTGACTAGTGGGGCAGTCAGAGACAGCAGTGGCGCTTGCCACTTGCTAGGGATGCTCCATTGCTTTTCATCTGTGTGTTCAAGTGTGAGCTACGTGAGCTGTTTGGGAGAAGTGTTAAGTCAGAGCATTTTATTCTGTGAGGGTGGTTTTTGAGAGGAATGTGGTGCACAAATTCTGGAGAACTGATGAATGGCTCGCTGTTGACTAGTGGGGCAGTCAGAGACAGCAGTGGCGCTTGCCACTTGCTAGGGATGCTCCATTGCTTTTCATCTGTGTGTTCAAGTGTGAGCTACGTGAGCTGTTTGGGAGAAGTGTTAAGTCAGAGCATTTTATTGAATGACAGCTGGAGGTTATTGTTCTGCTCCAGTTGGTACCTGAAGGGCAGGTGGCTTTATCCAAACTGGGTGATTTTGGTGCTTCTTGGCAAGGCAAGGGTAAAGGAAGATGAAGATGCCAGCTACTTCTAGATTTGTGCCCAGCTTTTAAAATGTCATATGTTTTTAAGTCTAGCATAGTTAATGCAAGCCAAATCACTTAGACATTAATTGACCTTTTTGGAAATAAATACAAAAGTGTTCGTTAATCCTGCCCTACATGCTAATTCTTTGAAAAAAAATCCTACACTTCATCATAAAAGTTTTTTTCTTGGCGAGAGCTGGTATTCTTTCCACTTCCTATTCTGCTGTGTTCCATGAGCCTTAGGTGTAGAGGTTCCACTGAAGATGACTCATGTAGGGTTAGACATCTCTCAGACATATAATTTCTGTGTGTAACCAGTTGTGGAACTCTGTAATAGCCTCCATCTGTTAAAAAAAAAGCAGCTTCTTTGATGAGCGATGTATGGTACACTTGTCTATAAATACAAGGATCCCATATTTAGCATATGGTAAGAAATTTCACTTGTCTAGGGATATGACAGAGAGAGGGTTTTCTCTAAGATCTCTGACCTCACCAGCCCTGTATATTTGGCTATAATTACAGTGCCACCCTTGAGTTCCCTCACATTGAGAGGAATTTAAGTCCAGTTACCCCCACAAATAACAGTGCCACTACTGCACCAATAAAAATAGTTTGCTGTGCCAGTCATTGTGGTTATTAGGCTTTAGAGCTGGGTTGAACCATTGACTGATTTTCTTCCTTAGCAGCTTACATAGTGTCCTACAGAACTGTGAGAGCTAGTCCTCAGGGAGGAGGCTGCAAGGTCAGTTTCAGCTCCATTGCTCCAGAGTCCTGAGTCTGAAGTATGTCCTGTCTTCACCAGCGAAACTTCCTTATACAACGGTTTGATGCACACAGAAGGCCACAACTGGCTAAGTTTTAGAGAATGAGAGACTGCAGAGTGTGTGTTCCTGGATAGGACTCCTATATTAAACCTCACTCATGGCTCAGGGACCGCTGTGCAGAAGAGGGGGTAGAAAGATTGTTAAGAGCCGGGGTTGGTCCATGAACATAGGGAAACAAGAGTTTTTCAGGCCACTAGAAGCTTGCTCACGTAAACTTGCAGCAGTGATGCTGGTGTGCGTAAGACAATGGGTGGTGGCCCCTAGCCCTAGCCTGGGAACTGTTGTCAAGTACTTACCGCTGGGTGAGGGAAAGCAGAAGATCTCTAGATCTCTAGATAGACTGATTTAGAGCCAGTAGATGAACTTGCACTGGAGGGCGTTTGGATACAAATGCTTGACCAGATAAGACTTAACACGTATGACAGAATGCATAAAATCGGGGGGTTAAAGAAAGTTTTTTTGCTGGGCCTGGTAAGCATACGCCTTTAGTCCCAGCACTCAGGAAGCAGAGGCAGGCGGATCTGTGAGTTCAAGGACAGCTGGGGCTACAGCTCAAAAAGACCAAAAAATTTTTTTCTTGAGGTGCTGGGGAATTGGTTTGTGCACACTAGACGTATATTCCATTACTGAGCTACACTCCCAGGCCCATCATAAAACTCAGAATGCATGCCTCGCCTGTCATAACTCCCCTTGAAAAGCTACTTTAGTCTTATGAGCTATTGAAACAAAATAAGCTGAAAGTGGTCACAAAAGCTGTCTTATCTCACCTCCCTGAAATCCACTGACTGTTCAACATTAAGATAAATAAAGAGCTAGGCATGGTGGCACGCCTTTAATCCCTGGGGCGGGGGGCGGGGCAGAACAGGCAGATCTCTGGGATAGCGAGGTCTAGGCCAGCTGGGATTATAGGGAGATCCTGTCTCAAAAAGAATTAGTAAAGACTCAGCAACAGAAATGAAATGAATGCATAAGAACAAGGGTATGGAGGGGATTTTATAACTTTGCAACAGGAAGTCCACGCTTCAAGTGGTAAGTGCCATTACTGTTACTGTACAGTCACTGCCTCTTCCTTGACTCCTCAGGCTTGACGCATGCCTAGAGCTCTTGATCAGAACAGGAAGACTGCCAGAGGCTGCCTTCCTGGCCCGAACATACTTACCCAGCCAGGTTTCAAGGTATGGACTTAATATTAGGAAGAAATGTTTCAAATAAAAACAGGACACTTATCTAATCTGTTTGGTTCTGTGTCTCTAATAGGGTAGTGAGACTTTGGAGGGAGAATCTCTCAAAAGTCAACCAGAAAGCAGCAGAATCCCT